AGAAGATATAGATAAGGGGGCAGACGAAAGGAGACACAAAAAGAAGGAAAAAGGAAAAACAAAAAGGAGAAAGAAAAAGAAAGAAAAAGAAAGAAAAAGAAAGAAAGAGATAGACAAAGAGATAGGTTAAAGAGATATAATTTTAGTGTTTAGGTTTTACTCTTTAGGCTTTAGGGTTTTTGGACCTTAGAGTGGGGGGTTTAGGGTTTAGGGTTTAGCTCAGGGTCTAGGGTTTAGGATTTTAGGGTTTAGGGTTTTAGGGTTTAGGCTAGGGTTTAGGGTTTCGGGTCTAGCGTCTAGGATTTTAGGGTTAAGGGTTTAGGTTTTTAGGGTTTAGGGTTTACCCTGCATGGGGGTTTAGGGTTTAGGTTCCTAGGGTTTAGGGTTTAGGGTTTACCCTGCATGGGGGTTTAGGGTTTAGGTTTCTAGGGTTTAGGGTTTAGGGTTTAGGGTTTACCCTGCATGGGGGTTTAGGGTTTAGGTTTCTAGGGTTTAGGGTTTAGGGTTTAGGGTTTACCCTGCATAGGGGTTTAGGGTTTAGGTTTCTAGGGTTTAGGGTTTAGGGTTTAGGGTTTACCCTGCATAGGGGTTTAGGGTTTAGGTTTCTAGGGTTTAGGGTTTAGGGTTTAGGGTTTACCCTGTATGGGGGTTTAGGGTTTAGGTTTCTAGGGTTTAGGGTTTAGGGTTTAGGGTTTACCCTGCATGGGCGGGGGTTTGTGTATGGTGTTGGGGTTTTGCAGTTCAGTGGGGCCCGCCAGGGGGTCTATAAGGAACTGTCTCCTTTTGAGGCCTGTCTCCGTTGTATCGTCTCCTTCTTGTGCATATATTTCTGCTGTTTTATCATCTCCTGCTGCTGCTGCTGCTGCTGCTGCTGCTGCTGTTGCTGTTGCTGCTGCTGCTGCTGCTTTGTGGGTCCCTATATGTTTATCTATTTGTTCGTCTATCTGCTGTATATACATAACAGCTATTTGCTGCTGCTCCGATCCAATAACATGTTGCTGCTGCTGCTGCTGCTGCTGCTGCTGCTGTTGCTGCTGCTGCTGCTGCTGCTGCAGCAGCTGCTGCTGCTGCTCGCAGCGCTCGTAGCCCCCCTGCCACACCTCCTTGAACTCTGCTGCTGTGCAGTTGAGCTGCTGCTGCAGCAGCAGCTCCAGGGTAGAGAACGTCAGCTGCGGGGGAGGAGACAACGCCTCCTGCATGCGGGCAGCAGCAGCATCTGCTGTCTCTTCCTGAAACGCCCGTCGCCGCTGCAGCAGCAAACAAACAAACAGCAGCAGCAGCAGCAGCAGCAGCAGCAGAGGCAGCAGCAGCAGCAACAGCAGCAGCAAGAGGAAGAAGTGGATTAAGAAATGATGAGCAGCAGCAGCAAAACAAAAACTAAATTGCTGCAGCAAACGCCCGTCAATCAACAGCAGCAACAGCAACAGCAGCAGCAGCAGCAGCAGCAGCAACAGCAGCAGCAGCAGCAGCAACAGCAGCAGCAGTAGCAGCAGCAGCAGCAGCAGCAGCAGCATACTTCTGGAGACCAGTTGGCCATGAAGGGGGGAACGACTGCTGTCTTGCTGCTGAGATCCATCAGCTCTATCCCCAGCTTCTCACGCAACGCTGCTCTCTCATCCCTGCTGCTGCTGCTGCTGCTGCTGCTGCTGCTGCTGCTGCTGTTGCTGCTGCTGCTGCTGCTGCTGCT